ATGTCATTGTAGGGGGCGGCTGGTAACCTGAGCCGCCCCTACAGTTAGGGCTGATTTGTAGGGGCGGCTCAATCACCAGCCGCCCCTGCAGTGCCGACTGTAGGGACGGCTGAATCACCAGCCGCCCCTACTGATGGGGCACGAATAAATAGCAGCCACCCCCTTCTTCCACCTCGGGACACACTCTTCTACACATACAAAAAAGGCTGGGAGGCCTTAGGCTCCTCTTAAAAATTGCTCTACTAAGGGGGGAGGTTTTGATCTCAAATCCTTTGGTGGAGAGGCTCTAAAAGGTAAGGAAATGCTTCTCCAACTCTTTATTTAAGTTTAATTCGTTGGTTAGTGAGTAATTTGATTTTAGGTTTTCTCTCTCTTCCATGGAGCTTGAGCTAGTTATGAGTGAAATTAGACCCTAATTTTCACTATACTAGGGTAAATTAGGTAGGAAAGTAAGATTGCACCCTTTATTAGTACATCTTTGTTGATTTTAGTGTAGTATTAGTGAAGTTTGGTGCATGTGTCATGAAACCCTATATCTAGATCTAGGATTTTGTTTTTTTTCTTTTTCAATTTTTCCTTTATGTGACTAGGGTTTGCATGTAGGTGAATGTGTAAGATTTTAATTGTTGCTAATGTGTAAAATATTCTCTACCATGGCTACTAATTATCATTTAATATTTATTTTGATTCCTTTCTATAATGTGTGTTTTTAATTAGTTATGGATAAATAGGCCATTAATTAATTATTCTCTACCATAAAATTGGAATGAAGTTTGCATGAAAGGTAGTGGATGAAATATTAAATGTTGCTAATTGTTTTATTTGAAATTGTTTATTTGAACCAATTAATTTATATTTTAAAATATTTATGCATTAATAGTCAATTAATTAACTATCCTCTACTACCATGGTGCGTGTCTCAGGTATATACAATTATTCTCGAGTAATATTCTTTCTTTGGTTATTTTGTTTCTATAAGATGGACTACAGGAACTCTTGGATGTATGGTTCGTTAAGACACGACGCTCTTTTCCGTGATGAGGTGGACAAATTCATCAAAGCCGCAGAGAAGCATGCAGCGACGTTGAAAGAGAATAGCGACACGATTATTTGTCCCTGCAAAGATTGCAAGAACCTTATTGCATTTTGAGATGTGAGTACCATCAAAGAACATCTGATTAGAAGATGATTTGTTCCGGACTATACAGTGTGGATTCATCATGGTGAAACAGTGGTTGTTGATGACAGCGACGATGATCTAGCTGATGAAGCTGAAACCCAAGCATACTTGTCCCGATTCACAGACGATCTTGAGCAACAAATGGATCGTGACTATGGTAATCAACAAGGTGGTGGCTTTGGCAATCAACAAGGTGGTGGCTTTGGCAATGAACAAGGTGGTGATGATGCTGGTGGTGCCAGCAATGATGGCGAAGCACGTGAGGGGGATGCAAATGACGGTGACAACTTGGACGAAATGCTTGGGGCCTTTGGACCAGAAATATTAGAAAAGAGCAAGAGAGGTCTAGAAAATCTTGAGAGGGTGACAAAAGCATCAAAGAAGACTGTGTATGATGCTGAGAAGGGTTGTCCGACATACTTCACACTACTACGTTTTGTGCTTGAGCTACTCATCCGGGAAACAACATATCATCGGAGTTGATGGCGTGGACGATGTTGAAGCTTACAATAAGTGCAATGAGATGCCGCTATTCACAGACTTTTGTAAGAAGATCGAGGCTGTGAAAAAGAACCTGCCCAAAGATGTATTGCCATGGGAACGAAAAGGTGTTAAGGAGAAAGTTATCACGGTGGGCTAGCTAGTTTATGTAAGTATGTCAGTGTTCATAAGACTACATTCATGTATGTGTATGTGAGACTACATTCATGTATGTAAGACTACATTTATGTATGTGTGTTTGAAACTACATTTATGTGTGTGTTTGAGACTATATTCACGTATGTTTGTGTGAACAATGTGTACTAAGAATTTATCAAATTATGAAATTACTAAAATAAAAGTTGTAGATCTCCATGAGTTATTCAACTTTGGTATTCATTACTTTTTCAATTGAAATGATTTGGGGGTTTCAAATTTTGGTTCGAACTTGTAATTTTTTAAATTTCAAAATTTGAAAGGTTCAAATTTAGTCAAATGACAAGATAATCAAAATAAAAGTTGTAGATCTTGATGAGTTGAACAACTTTTATATTCATCACTTTTACATCTGAAATCATTTAGGGTTTGAAAATTTGGTTTGAACTTATCAAATTTTAAATTTTAAAATGTGTAAAACATTGTCACATCCAAGTTTGATCACACTTAAATGCTGAAGCATTATTTTAGAAATTTTTTGGGAAAAACCATCACATTTGGAGTTAGTATGAGGGAGAACAACTAGTTATAAAGTTTACCCACAGATTAAAAAGAGAAATTACATTGTTCTAGATGATCCTTACATGATCATAGTGAACAGTATGATTTCTTTTTTTAATCTGTGGGTCAACTTTGTAACTAGTTTTTCTTCCTCATACTAACTCCAAATCTGATGATTTTTTTTCCTAAAATTTTCTAAAATCATGTTCTATCAATTTATTTTGTTGGTTTTGTCAATATATACATATGAAAAGTTTGAGCACTTTAAATTTTGAATTTCAAAAAAAATGCAACTTCAGACAAGATTTTGGTACCCCAAATGATTTCAGCTGAAAAAGTGATAAATACCAAAGTTGAATAACTCATCAAGATCTATAACTTTTGTATTGGTCATTTCTTCATATGACAAAGTGGTAATGATATTGTTCACAAATGTGACACATCTCTTGTAAGGTTTTATAAACTATATGAGACATGTGTAAGATTAGTGAACAATGTGTGCTAAGAATTTATCAAATGAATAAATGATCAAAATAAAAGTTGTAGATATTCATGAGTTGAACAACTTTGGTATTCATCACTTTTTATGTTGAAATCAATTTGGGTCTCAAATTTTGGTTCGAACTTGTCATTTTTCAAAATTTCAAATTTGAAATGTTCAAATTTTGTGAAATGACAAGATGACTAAAATAAGAGTTGTATATATTAATGAGTTGAACAACTTTGGTATTCATCATTTTTTATGTTGAAATCATTTTGGATCTCAAATTTTGGTTCGAACTTGTCATTTTTCAAATTTTAAAATTTGAAAGGTTCAAATTTAGTCAAATGACAAGATGACCAAAATAAAAGTTGTAGATCTTGATGAGTTGAACAACTTTTGTATTCATCACTTTTACATCTACAATCATTTAGGGTTTAAAATTTTGGTTTGAACTTGTCAAATTTCAAAATTTAAAACGTGTAACACATTGTCACATCCAAGTTTGATCATACTTAAATGATGAAGCATGATTTTATAAAATTTTAGGAAAAAAACCATCATATTTGGAGTTAGTATGAAGGAGAACAACTAGTTACAAAGTTTATCCACAGATGAAAAAGAGAAATCACACTGTTCTAGATGATCCTTACATGATCACAGTGAACAGTGTGATTTCTTTTTTTAATCTCTGGGTCAACTTTGTAACTAGTTTTTCTTCCTCATACTAACTCTAAATCTGATGATTTTTTTCCTAAAATTTTCTAAAATCATGCTCTATCAATTTATTTTGTTGGTTTTGTCAATATATACATATGAAAAGTTTGAGCAATTTAAATTTTGAATTAAAAAAAATACAACTTTAGAGAAGATTTTGGTACCCCAAATGATTTCAGCTGAAAAAGTGATAAATACCAAAGTTGAATAACTCATCAAAATCTACAACTTTTGTATTGGTCATTTCTTCTTATAACAAAGTGGTAATGACATTGTTCACAAATGTGACACATCTCTCGTAAGGTTTTATAAACCATATGAGATATGTGTAAGATTAGTGAACAATGTGTGCTAAGAATTTATCAAATGAATAAATGACCAAAATAAAAGTTGTAGATATTCATGAGTTGAACAACTTTGGTATTCATCGCTTTTTATGTTGAAATCAATTTGGGTCTCAAATTTTGGTTCGAACTTGTTGTTTTTTCAAAATTTCCAATTTGAAAGGTTCAAATTTTGTCAAATGACAAGATGACTAAAATAAAAGTTGTACATATTAATGAGTTGAACAACTTTGGTATTCATCACTTTTTATGTTGAAATCATTTTGGGTCTCAAATTTTAGTTCGAACTTGTCATTTTTTAAAATTTCAAATTTGAAAGGTTCTAATTTTGTCAAATGACAAGATGACCAAAATAAAAGTTGTAGATCTTCATGACCTCTACAACTTTGGTGTTTATCAAATTTTTATTTGAGATCATTTGGTGTCTCAAAATTATTTTAGTAGTTTTGATTTTAATTTTTTAAAATTTATTTTTTTCCCTATTTTTAAAGATTCAATTTTCTAATTTTAAACTGTTTTAGTTGTTTTAGTTATTATATATGTAAATATATCTATAAAAAATATAATTATAAAATTTTGTACCGGGAATCTCGTGCACCGACGGGGAGCACTGGCGCGAGCGCAAAACTGAAAAGCAGTCAAGGCCCACACGGCAGAGAGACACGGGGAAAAAAGCGCGCGGGCAGGGGCGCCTCCCGGCCCGTGACTCCAATCTTGCGTGCCTTTTCCCCCCAAATCTCGCAACCTTTCCTCTCCTTCGCATTCCAATCGTCGCTCCCCACCACCATCGACTCCCTCCTTCCCTCACAGGTCACCGCTGCCGACTCCCTCGCAGGTCGCCGCCACCAGAGATCCTAAGCCCCGCCACCAGGGCCCTTCACGGCAAGGTCGTTCCACCGCCGTCGCAAAAACGCTGTAAGCCCGTAACCCTAGGCCCTTCCACCGCTTTGGATGATCTGTGTGCTCGGCCGACAGCGGCGCCGCCGCCGCTGACTCATCTATCTTGCGCGGTGCTCCAACGGCTCGTGCTCAGGCGTGGGCGGCCAGATCTATAGCATCTCAGGTGAGGGTGGCCGAATCCATGGCGTCGTCTCCTGCGCCCCGCACCACGCCTTCGCGCTCATCTCCATGGCAGTACAAGGCACACACCGGCGCCCCCGCCACTAAGCCCACCGACGGCATCTCCGAGAAGGTAGCAGCGAACCACCACCAGAAGACCACGTCTGCCATCCTAGTACAGGCAGCCCCAGGTACTAATCCCAATCCCAGTCCCCCGTCCTATCTCCATTCCCACATGGATTTGATATGTCTCTTTTCACCGTAGATAGCTGAATTGTAGTTGGCAAACACTAGGTATTACCTTGAGATACAGGTGTTGTATGAACTCAGTATGGAGTGTCTCAATCTCGATGGTCATTGATTTCATTACTACTACTAGTCTACTCTTGGGAGGATTTGGGCAATTTACCCATATTGCTTTGCTACTAGAAAATTATTAAGCCTATTGACTAGGCCTCTTTGCTCTACTACAGAAAGATTGTTTTTAACTCTACCTACGGAACACATGACATATAGCACTGCAGCATTGGATACAAGTAAACCTAGTATGATCTTTGTGGTCCACTCTTGTCTTGTTTAAAACATAGGAGTGTGCCGGAAAATAATGATGTAGTTTAATTAGGGTCACATTCTTCGAGCGAGAGACACTTATGTGCCCATGAGGGAAAATTCTCTTGCAAGGATCTTTGGCCACTCTCCCATCAATATGTTCTCATCATGAGTAAATGGCGGCATTAGTTGGTTAGCTAACGTTGAGTTAGTCCTATATTAGCTTCATATCAAGTGATTTTTAGTTCAGCCTTGTTGTGTGGCACAAACATATTTATGATTCATGAATGCAGCCTAGAAATATGCCTATTCTGATCTTGGCCGCTTTTGAGGTCTTGCAAAAGACGTAACGTCGATACAAAAAATGCTTGAAATATCTTTGCGAAATTATTGTAGCGCCAAGAATTTCTTTTCATTCAACTTTATGACCAATCAAGATCAAAGTATCTTTGTAGAAATATGATGCGAGACTTGGATGTAATCTGTTATGGTATTATAGGCTTGTTTGAATATATGCCTTTGACTATTTGTTTCACATGTTATACAGTGAACATTCCTCGGACCAAAAAGACCTCTTTGCAAGAACAAGGAGTCTTTGGAAGCATACTCTTGCACAAGGTGACTCGATTACAAGAAGGGTGACGATAGCCTATCTCTCGCACAAGGTGACTCTGCTACCTTTCTAAATCTAGTTTGCTATTTTGTAGTCCGTGGCAAGCTCATTATAGTTCATTTTCACTAGAGAGTTCATTTTGTTTAATCGAACATACGAAATCGTTTATACAATTCTTGTTTGATGACTACTAGCTAGTGATCATATTTTCACTTCTTGCGAGGTTAGTGGCTTTGAAATTCCATTACAGAGATAGAATTACAATACTTGAGGAAATCATGAGAGCACACAAATCATTCAAGTGTGAGTTTACATCTACTAGTATTTGGATTTTTTATTGCAACTCATAATTCTTGTTGTTCTATATAACTTTCTTTGTTGCTTCTATGGTACTGTGCTTCCTGTGTCCTCATTACGGTGATCACACCCATATCAAATCCTATTGGAATTGATAAATGTCAAAATCTCTTTACAAATGAATTTTATTGGACTTTTCTTTGCAAGTACTTACTGACAGAGATGAGTTCTTGAAACATTCTGTACATTGCTTGTTCCATGCAAATGAGATTCATTGTGATTTTTCTCTCTTGTTGTAGGGCAGCGGCAGGAGCATGGCTGAAAAGAAGAGCTATCCACAACTGAATGAGGGGATCATGTCATCCCTCTCAAAGCGATCGGTTGCTATGCACCTTCCTAGCATGACCTTGAGATAGTTAAGTCCATCTTTTTTTGCGTTGCGATATGATTACGGAAGTTCATACAAGTGATGCCTAGGATTTTCAAATACCCTGATAGATAAATATAGCCGGGGTTTTGTCATCAATGGTAGCAATTCATCGCATTATGGCAGCAATTCATCACATTCTTGAGCACCAAAACTTCTAATCACAATCAATATTTGGGCTGTCCTAGTGATAATACTTTCTTTGAAGGTGCTATTTTCATATTCATTGACAGAGATTTACATACTAGTCGGTATATATTTGCTCGCATGGTCATGCACAATCTTAATAATCTGCGATTCTAAATGCACATTAGCTGCACGCTTTGGGATATAAAAAATGACAAGTATGTATTCTCTGAGACTATACATGCCTTTACCAAATTAATTGAAAGTGTTTAATCAAGCTATGTAAATTAAGGTTGCAACAATCAAGGTTTACAACACTGAATTCATCATCATATATAGCATAACACCTATTCTATCATAGCTTGAAATAGCAAACCCCTATTCTGTTTGTCATAGCTTGGAATCATCTTTGGCAGTATCCCACAAGTCTCTTTTTATGTATGATGATGGGTCATGAAAACTTTGATTTACATAGGCACAGCTGTCCGTCTCTATTAGATATTTGCTCTATTTACATAGGCATGTGTAGGAATATTTATTTAGATTTATGTGTAGTGGAAATAACGCAGCAACTTATCTTCTTACAAGCAACATGTACATATTAGCTCTCCTTAGTTTATAATCATCAGATTAGTAGTGAATAAACTTTTACTTTTTGCTTGCCTTAGTATGTCTTTTTGCAATGTCATATCAGGCTATTTTCTGAATGTATGTTCTATCTCAGACTCACACTATGTATTTGTTTAATTTTCAGGTTTGCAGTACTGATAATTTTTGTACATTGGTCCATGAGTGGAATAGTGCTGGTGAAACCCTTGGCTAAGGTGGACAATCTTACTACTCATAGTATGCATTTGTATGTCATGGTCACTTTAGAATTTTCAGTTTTGAAGAAGCAATGATTTGGTTCATATATCAGACTCTGTACGGTGTAGGCTACTAGCAGTAGCACTAGAACCTGACTTTTGTGAATTATGACTTGTGATGATGTTCTAAATAATGATCTTGTGTTTGTGGATGTATATATGTATATTTGTGGCGGTAAGATTCGAATTTGAATTTGAATTATTTATTTTTTTCTAGAAAATCCACTGTAGGGACGGTTCTTGATTGAACCGCCCTTACAAATACACACAGCAGGGGCGGCTGGTGATACAGCCACCCTTACAGAAGTCCACTACAGGGGCGGCTGATATTACCAGCCGCCCCTACAGAGGGCGCTGTAGGGGCGGTCAGGAAACCGCCCTTACAGAGGCACCCTCTGTAGGAACACCCTGGGAAGGGCGGCTGGCGCAGCCGCCCCTACAGAGGCTCTAGAGCCGCCCCTACAGTAACATTCTGTAGTAGTGCTTGGACGCGTTTGCCCCTAGAGAACGTTTCGGCTGCCTGCTCGCCCGCTTCGTTTCATGCGCCGCCCGTTCACTCGTCCGCTAATCGCTCGCCTCCCTTCCTCTCCCGTAGCACGCTCGCCTCCCTTCGTCTCCCGCAGCACATGCTCGCCGCTCGCTTCTAGTTAGGGTTTAGATGTTCGCGCACCTCTCTTCCTCGCCGCCCGGCTGGAGTCCGACGCCATGAAGGTCGTTCGCGCCGGAGGAGGCGCTGGAATCAGAGGTCGCGCCGGACTCGGAGATGACAATGGACTCGGAGATGGTGTTGGATTCGGAGATGGCGTTGGACTCCGTCGAGATGGTGCCGGACTCCGTCGAGGTGGTGCCGGACTCCGTCGAGTCTCCGTGCGCTCGCTGCGGCACGTTCCACGCCAACGACGACGACGGAGAAGCCTGCTTCCAAGCTCGCCGCCGCGCTCGCAGGTGTGCCCGTTGTGGTCTCCTACATGAAGACTATGATCTAACAGCATGGATATTGCATGACATGGAAAAGTTTGATTGTGAGATGTACATTCCTGATGTGGAGAAGCTTGAAATGAATGGTGAAACAATAATTTTGCCTGAGCACGTTCAGAAGAAGTTGGACGAGCACATTGAGAAGATGAAGCAAGGCGCCATGGAAGATGCAAAGAAAGATCAGTAAGGGTACATGTCTCATTCATTTAACCTAAGATACATGCATCTCCTAATTTGCTTCTTCTAATTTGCTGCATAAACTAACTTGCATCTTCTAATTTGCAGGAAGACTAGCAGTGGCTTCAACTAGCAAGGAAGCTTCACATGAGATTCGCAATGGCAGCCGATCTTCTCTCTAGTTTTTCCTTTTGCATGTGAGGAATCTTGCTTTCCAAGTATCGTGCTTTCGAAGCCCAAAAAATAACGTGGTCCAAGTGTCAGTTCTGTGTGCCTGATAATGCACTCTAGAAGCCTGCATATCAATGATTCAATGGCCAGATCAGATTATTGCTAGGATATATATGAGAAAAAAATTCATCCACTCCCGCTCGCCCTTAATCAGCCTAATAGAGCACACCATTTTATTTGGGCACAATCGATGACCCAACCAATCCATCCAATCGTACACGAAAATGTACTTTTCCAACTCAAACGCATGGATCTACATAAGTAATGGTTAGCCTCCGCAGCTATTGAGACACTTGTCAAGCTTAATAGGCTTTGACTTAAAAAAAAAGTTAAAATAACGTATAATTTAAGACGGAGTGGGTACCTAATTAATTATGTCATTTATGTTCGTTTCTCTAATACTCCCTCCATACCCAGATTTCAAGTCGTTCTGGGCACTTGGCTAGTTCTCACAAATCATGTCGTTCTCTGCACCCGAGGGCAAGTTTGGACGCGATTACCCCTCCCTTAATCGCGCGCGTGCACGCCGTCCGCATTGATCGCGCCTGTTCGTTACTCACGCCACCCGTTCGGCTTGCCGCTGGCCGATCCAATAAGCGCTCGCACTGCCTCGTACTTCGTTCCTCGTCGCACGCCTCCTCGCCTCGCCTTACATCCTCTTTGCGTAGCCTCGCTGCTCGCCGCACGCTGCATGTCCTCGTCGCCTCGCCTCGCCGCTCGCCGCACGTCCTCACACTCGCGCGAGAACGCCGAAAATGCGTCTGAACGCCGAAAATTTGAAAGCAAGCGAACCTGTAAACGTGCCAACACACGCGCGAGAAAGCAAAACGGGAGCAAACGCTAAAAACACTCCTACACGCACGCGTCACCTGTGCCAAAACGCTCCTGCACGCGCGCGCGAACGGCCAAACCCCGACCTCACGCGCCCAAACTCAAGCAGCACAGCGCCATGCAACGAAGCACAGTGCCATGCAAATAATCTAGCGAATACAAAAAAAAAATACCACGGCTGCCAGCACTCGAACGGTGGACGTCCGTCCTCGGGCTGCAGAGCCTTGGCCACTCGAGATACGAAAGTTTGCTGGATAAGTATCACGCGCAGACCTATTTAATAAGGGCAAGGATGGAAAATTAACCCCTAATTAATTCCTCTTTAGTATGCACAATCCTGTCCTAAACGATTTGTTTTATGGGTACTGAGGGAGTATCTATCTGTGTATGTCTTTCTTTTTTTAAAAGTCCCGTATACCTCGAGTTGCACACCTCTGCAGTACAAACAGAGCCTAGCTCCAAACAGAGAACAAGAACGGTATTTACGTCATGTTTGTTTAGGCTTATTTGGCTTATAAGTCATGGCTAAAAGTACTGTTGGCTGGTTTCGTGTGAGAGAAAAATATTGTTCGTTGGCTGATAAGCTATGGCTTATAAGCCAAATATGACCGAGCGAACAGGCTGTTAGTTTTTGCTTTTCAGCTTGTGGACTATATCACCCTGTTCGCTTGATCATTTCTGTGGCTTATAAGTTGGCTGTTGTTGTTTTGTTGTGAGAGAAAAACACTATATCATTATTGATAAGATCGAACGAACAGGGTGTATATTTCTATCAGGAGCCACCTAGCTACAAACAGAGAACAAGAACACAGTAACTAACGATACATATCCAACCAATGCAATAATCCCGTGAAAGGATATATTAAGCTAACTCGAACTGAAACTGAGGTAGATCACGGGATCGATTGAGATGCAAGCATGGTGTTGTACTATACAGCTCGATCATGCAGCGTGTTTGGGAGGCCGTATCGTATCGTGGATTATTTACTGTTGGCTGGTTTGGTGTGAGAGAAAAACATTGTTTCTGGCTGGAAATTTACGATCGTTTACGAGCAAGCGAACAGAGCAGATCAGCCTGTTCGTTTGGCTATAGCTTGTCATAAACGATTATAAATTTCTAACCAGAACAGTATTTTTCTCTCACACAAACCAGTCACTACTTCTTCATGAACCAGCCACGAAACGAACGGCTAACACACGCATGTTCACAGGATGAACAGTACTGCAGCCAGAATTAAACTATAGCAAGAGATCGAAAGAGATAAAAAGACACTGAACGAGATTTCTAATACATCGAGTTGCCGCTACTGTTTATTGAAAGGATTAGTTAACTAACACTACTACATGTAGGATTTGTAGGGCGACTCGTAACCTGTGTACGAGATTTCTAATAGAGTTGCATCTACTGTTCATTCAAAGGATTAGTTGACTAACGGTACTGCACGTAGAATTTTAGGGGTGGTTTTGCCCGCCGTCCCTACCACAATGTTGCTATAAATCGCTGATTTGTAGGGGCGGTTGGCCAGCCGCCCCTATAAATCAAATTTGCATGGAATCCGTTTTAGAAAATTCACGAATCCAGGTAAAAAAAAATATGATTTTTTTTCTTAAGTCATGGCATTCTTCGCGCAAACATCGCACGCTTTGCGGCCGATGGGATTTGAACCCGCGACCTCCCCTCACGCGTACCCTCCTCTAATATTGCACCTCACATTCATTTGTGTCTGTGTTGGATTTTCTTTTTTCTACGTATTGATCTCATTCGGCTTATCCCATATTT